TTTAAGTTAAGATCTGTAGAGAATTTTCTTTATGCATATACATGTGTTATAAGTAGAATTGTTTATGGATTTGGTGTTGAATGATTATTAGAACCTATCCATGAGAGTTTGTGTTGGTGTAGTTGATGCTTGATGCATGTTTGGATGAAAGTTGGAAGAATTGAAGTGGAAATTTTGGAGTGTGCATTTTGGGCAGATTTGGTGTTAATATGGAGGGATTTATTCCCAATTTTTGGTGGCTTAGAAAAGAGATAGAAGTGTAGCCAAATTAGAGTTTGAGTATACATGCAATTTGTTTGATGAAAATCCTAAGAGAAAACATGTTACCATGGCTGCCCTGTCACATCTGTGACCTTCTGAGTGACTTTTGGGTATCTTACAAATTGAACTAGGTTGAGACTTCAACATAAAAGTTGTAGCCCTGTCACTAAGCTTTAAAACGAGACCAAGACCATAGAAATCTGATATGTATAACTCAAGTTATGCCTTCTTGAATATGATATGTGCAGAATGACTACCTCAAAAATGCTTCCAATTTATTAGTTTATTTTTTCAAGTATGGGAATGTTGTTGGACATATTTGAATTATGAGAAGTGCTTTTGATTGTATGATGATGGGTTGAAGTTTGATTGAAGTTGAAAGAAGTTTGAGTAAACTTTTGGGAGTGTTTTTCCTTGACAGGTTTTGTGATGATACAAGGGAGCTTAGTCTCATTTTGGATGGTTAAAGAAAGAAGAAGAGTTATAGCTAAAGTAGAATTTATGTTTGCACATTTATTGTTTGATGAAATGCCCAAGAGAAGCATGAGTATGAGTAGAGAACCTTAATTTCATGCAACATTGCATATTTGCATTTCATGAGTGCATCTAAGAAAGAATTATAAGCATGAGCCATCCACATACATTTATTTGCATGTGTGCAATAACTTAAGATAGAATAAAGAATTTTAAAGAATAAAGTACTCTAAAAGTAAAGAGAAAGAAAGAAAAAGCACTAGAGAATAAAAGAAAGAAAAGTGTTAAAGAAGAGAAAAGAATAGGTTGTTGCGATGGGGAACCCATGAGTGACAGAGAAGAATAGTCCCACATACACGCCGCCTTCAGTGAGCGGCCTCAGAATCAGAAAGAAGTAAGTGTACAGTTCGTTAGAAGTGTATGTGGATGAGAACTGTACCAACAGAATTTACCTACATGCACGCCGCCTTTAGTGAGCGGCCTCAGAATCAGAAAGAATAGTTGTACAGTCCGATAGAAGTGCATGTAGATGAGGACTGTACCCACTCACATGGCCAGGGTTCCGAATCCATGCCTCAACCGAGTCCGATCGGCATAGAAAGAAAGAAAGAATAGAACACAGAAAGAAAGAACAGAACAGAAAGAAAGAAAGAACGGAACAGAAAAAAGAAAGAATAGAACACAAAAAGAAAGAACATAATAGAAAGAAAGAAGAGAAACAGAAAACAGAAAAGAAATTGCATTCTTTATGCATTTATGCACATACATCATGGCATTCATATTATTCAGAATTAGTTTCTCCAATTGTGCTTACATGTTAGTAAGTGAGAAAAAGAATAGAGAGATAGAACAGCAAAAGAATAGAGAAAAAACAGAGAGATAGAACAGAAAAAGAATACAGAAAGAACAAAGAGAAAGAATAGAAAAGAACAGAGAAGAAGCGAGAAGTGTGATGTAAGGAAAGAATTCAGAATATGAGCAACGGAGATAAAAGGGTAGCATAGCGGGTTTACTTACTGAACAATTAGTGCTCACGCCATTGTTTTTAATGTTTTTTGCAGGTAGTAGATGTGATGTGGTTGCTTGGAATGTCAAGATGCGAAAGGGTCGGGGCAACACTGTTGAGCTTCTTGAGAAATTTATTTACACTATGTATAGTTTTGTATATATAAAGAAAATTTGGGCCCATTATTTTATACTCATCTACATGTATATTTTCGTAATATATATAGTTAGTTAATTTTACTGTTTATTTTATGAGTATACTAGCTAGAGAGAGAGTCATTACAACATCCCAACTCTGTGCGCACAAGTCTCTGAATCTCTTTAGGAGATGGACCTTTCCCTTCAACGAACTGACTTTTGACAAATTGTCCAATAGCATCAGCGGAGGCTTGTCGATGCTCACCTAAAATATGTTCCAAACCACATGTGTGCTCACGGGTATATGTGCTAAGAATAAATTTTTCGGACTCTGCCAACCTTCTACAATAAACCCGCCACTTGCACTTTCGGTCACGACATGCAACCGTCACAACCAATGAATTTGACTTTTTGGTGATGAACTCAAAATTACCTCTCACCGCAACAAGTTTTAGCTTCCTCACCACTTCCTCTTTGTTGTCAAATAAATACCCTATGCGCAACTCCGATCCATTCATAAAAACATGAGCTGATTCACTATTACCTGCAATTTCCCCCTCTGAACCTGCATAAACGACCATAGTGTTCTCTTCCTCACAAACTACACCTTCTGCATAATTTTTATTTACAGGAATCTCTACATCTGCGGGAATATATACGGGGTCCTCCTCCTCAACATTTTCATTCTGCCACCCATGACCAACCTCTTCTATAGTGTCCTCCTCACCACCCAATTCACCGTCTACTCTTGATTTTTCAACTAACAAATCAATGCCCTCGTAGTTCAAATTAAAACCAGGCAAATCTCCGCCAACTTCCTCGTTATCCCCTTCTTTTGAACTAACTTCCAACGGTTTTCCTACAAAAGAAACCCTTAAAATCAGCCTCGAACCATTATCGGCCACATCAATCATATATAACTTCACACTTTCATCCGACTTTAATATAGCAATAGATACCTTATAATGTTCAGGAACTCTACTTAAAACATACTTCACAACTATATCACTACGTGAGTAACTCAAATCACCTCTTCTAATTATTTCATCAATCAACTCATCAAAACTAACCTCTGTGCTCACAGCAATTGGTATAACTTCTTTGCTCTTCCCAATCCACTTCCACCTACTTTCTTCCTCCACCCACTCACCAAAATATTCAACACCCAAAATAACTTGTCTCATGTCTAATAATAGCCAACTACCTATAATGCAAGAAAAAAAACATTCTTAACTGATGTACTAAGGGTTGAAATATTTTAAAAAGCATCTACACAGTCGCTTGACAGATCTGCTGTATCGCTTAAGTGATCTAGTATATTGTTTACTGGATCGCTTAAGTGATATAATGGATCGCTTAAGCGATCTAGTGTAAATAGGCATGATCGTTTAAGCGATATTATGTCATTTACTGATCGTTTAAGCGATCTGCTGCTATACACCAGAAATTTAGCAGATCGCTTAAGCGATCTTATGCCACATCCCTGATCGCTTAAGCGATCTATCTGCTGCATTACCAGACGTACCAGATCACTTAAGCGATCCATCATATCTAGAACACGTTTTCAGTCATCTCCACCTACAATCAGTGCTACCACCCCAGCTATCCACAATGCAAGAAAATTTTCAACAAATTCCACTCCTTTTAACTTTCATTACATCAAACACAACCCAACAACCTAAACAACTAAATCAAAATCAAAACCCAAACCTAATCCATCATTAAATCTTTGTAAATCGAATGGGGAGATACACATACCTAGATCGCTTTTTCAGCAGCAAGAGGAGGACGAGGAGGACGAGGATCTGTGTTGGAGAAGATGTTAATGGTAGAGGAATACGTTAATCTGTCGGGAGGAAGAAGAAGAATGTGTTTGGGTTTGTTTGCAAGATTTTCGACTCTTTGGAGACTTATTATAATTTTTTAAAGATTACCTAATTATTCATTAATCCTAATTAACCCCCTAATCATGTTTAATNAATTGGTATAACTTCTTTGCTATTCCCAATCCACTTCCACCTACTTTCTTCCTCCACCCACTCACCAAAATATTCAACACCCAAAATAACTTGTCTCATGTCTAATAATAGCCAACTACCTATAATGCAAGAAAAAAAACATTCTTAACTGATGTACTAAGGGTTGAAATATTTTAAAAAGCATCTACACAGTCGCTTGACAGATCTGCTGTATCGCTTAAGTGATCTAGTATATTGTTTACTGGATCGCTTAAGTGATATAATGGATCGCTTAAGCGATCTAGTGTAAATAGGCATGATCGTTTAAGCGATATTATGTCATTTACTGATCGTTTAAGCGATCTGCTGCTATACACCAGAAATTTAGCAGATCGCTTAAGCGATCTTATGCCACATCCCTGATCGCTTAAGCGATCTATCTGCTGCATTACCAGACGTACCAGATCACTTAAGCGATCCATCATATCTAGAACACGTTTTCAGTCATCTCCACCTACAATCAGTGCTACCACCCCAGCTATCCACAATGCAAGAAAATTTTCAACAAATTCCACTCCTTTTAACTTTCATTACATCAAACACAACCCAACAACCTAAACAACTAAATCAAAATCAAAACCCAAACCTAATCCATCATTAAATCTTTGTAAATCGAATGGGGAGATACACATACCTAGATCGCTTTTTCAGCAGCAAGAGGAGGACGAGGAGGACGAGGATCTGTGTTGGAGAAGATGTTAATGGTAGAGGAATACGTTAATCTGTCGGGAGGAAGAAGAAGAATGTGTTTGGGTTTGTTTGCAAGATTTTCGACTCTTTGGAGACTTATTATAATTTTTTAAAGATTACCTAATTATTCATTAATCCTAATTAACCCCCTAATCATGTTTAATTAAGCTTAATAAAAAACAAGGTCATTTAGTTAAAATTTACAAACTCTATAGCCTTTTAACTAAATTTTTAGTTAAAATGGATTTTAATAAAATCCCCCCATATTTTCTTTATAGCGAACGAGCTTACTGAGTGGAACTACTCTTATTCAGTGATCAACCTGAGAGAGAGAGACCACCGTAGTCTTGAGGATGGACCTGGACGACTTTAGTGAACTGGATGATGAGAATCAGACTAAAGTTCCCTCTCGGGTCCCCAAATTCAGGCCGAAATCCAGCCTCGACAAACCTTTGCCAAAACCTGAACCAAAACAACCGAAAATCGAAGAAAATTCAACAAAATCAGCGAATCTTTTGCCGAAGATTGAAAAACCTTCGGCCTTGAATGGCACTGTCAAAATGGAGATGAAACCAGTGGCGGCGGAGGTTGAGATGAAACCGGCACCGGATCTGGAGGCAAAACCGAAAATTGATGAGCCTGTGGATTCAAGCAGGAATCAATTAGAAGAAGAAGAAGATATGATTGTTCGGGAAATCGATGTGTATTATACTCCTTCAATTGATGCAGACACTCAGGTTTTATGTCTGTTATGTTGTGTATTTGATTGTAGAATATTTTATTTTTTTATTAAATGTTAAAAGCTGTATTCAAAACTCTCAGTTATACGTTATGCAATATCCATTGAGACCGTGTTGGCGTCCGTATGAATTGGATGAGAGATGTGAAGAGGTGTGTCTTATTTTTCTTCACTATATTTATTTATTTATTGAACGAAAATGGAAGTGTATGTATTGTTCTTTTTGTTCTTTTTTCTAGGTTAGGGTTAAACATTCGACTGCAGAGGTAGAAATGGACTTGTCAATTGATGTTGATTCGAGTAATTGGGACAGTGACAGGGCTAGCAGGGCTAACATAACGAAGCAGGTTTGATTGTCTCCAAATTTGCACTTTAAACAAGGTTCAGTTTATGTGTAGCTTGTTTGATAATGTAACATGATGTCTTATTTCGTGGTTTCTCTTTAGACTTTGTCTTCTTCTTGGAAGCCATCTCTGGCAGCTGGCTATGCTGTTGGTGTTCTCGTAGATAATAAGGTAAGCAACCTACCATATTCATTACCTTAAAGGTGATTGTAAGTACTTGAACCATTTAAGGACCTCTTCTAGTATTAAGATTAAGATATTTTGTCCTGGAGCATCAGCATATCGGCTGCTTAATGTTTTTCTATTATTGCCCTTTATTTTAAAGTATATATGTGTTTATAACATGTCAAGTATTGTAAGAGACCTTTGTCCATTTTTGTCTTGCAGTTAGTCTTGAATCCTATTCATGCAGTTGTGCAACTCCGACCATCAATTGAACAATTTAAGTCTGGTGGCTCCAAAAGGAAGAACAATGTCCCAGGCAATGCAGAAGTTGCCATCAAATTAGAAGATTCTAACGAAGCTAAACATGTTGGTCTATCAAAAAAACAGGTAATTTTCTTTGCAAGTATGTTGCAGGTATGCACTCTTAGAATTATTTCAGTGCAGAGATCTGACTGTTGCCATTGTTGGAGCATCTTAAACATGCCCAGACTAGAAACAATGAGTCAGCTTATTCAGTTTTCTTTTTTCAGTTTACAACATTCTATATAGTCTACGTTGCCAATATGAAAAAGGGATTAGTAACAATTATCATATCCTAATTTGTTGTGATGTCATCTTAAGACCATTACTCATGCAAGTTCCACCAAAATACCCAGACAATGATCTGGTAGTTGTCATAATTTGATGTATTACTGCATTAAGTGGTGGCTTCTGGAGGTGAAAAAGGATATCATTGCTTAGTTTTTACTATGATATGATTCATAATAGAGCTGAATTGCTCTAAAGGTTTCATGTGACAAACTCCGTTTTGTTGGGTTCAAGGCATATTTAAGTAGTGTGTGTGTCCCTCTATGTTAGTTTCAAATTCTGGCTGGTCTATTACTTTTTCTTGTCTATATTTATGTTGTAATTGTTGAGATCGAAGTATCATGATTTTCTGTGGTTCAGAATAAGCGGATTGAGGCTTCTGCTGAGGAAAAAAGAACACATGAGGATGAGGTATTAGAGTTAACTATACAATGTTCCCTCTGACAAGCATTTTTCCAATAACCAAATCGAGTGCTAATTTGCAAACTATAAAGTTAATTAAAGCCTGTTTTGTTCATTTAATATTTGTTTATCCTTTTTATCCAGTGTTGGGTTCCGCTGAAGTACCATGGGTTGAAGAGTGATTTCTCAGCTAGATATCTGCAGAGAATGTTGGCACAAGAAAGTTCTAATCTGCACTTCACAATGAATCCGTATGCAGTTTATGTAGTTGTGCAAAATTACTTGTCTTGTTTGTTGAATGAGTTAATTGTACAATTTTGATATTTTTTTACGATTATTACAGGTATGAATATGTTAGCTCTTTATGCCCTGGAGCATGTGACAGTAACATCAAATCCAAAAGTCTTTCAAGAAGGTATAGTCACTTTTCTAATCTTTTAATTTTTTTTATAACTCTTCCATTTCAATGAAGGCAATATAGCTATTATGCATTACACCATGCATTTTTGTTTGTGTTTGTCGGCCATTTAGCTGTTATGCCCTAAACCTTGTATGTATATCTCTATTTTGTGGATTGGTATGTATGAAAATCTGTGTGCAGGAAGCATGTACATATGTGCATTGTGTATATGGATGCATGAGAGTTATTCATGTGCCTATGAAACTGTAATGCTGCTTTAATAAGAGAATGGCGTTTGATAAAAATTATCAGGTTATGGTGTAGTGATAGAAATCTTGTCAGGAAAGAAACAGTTGCTAGAAAATCAAAGTTGTTCTGGAAATATTAAAAATAATTAATTATGTGCCTTTTAGTGGTGTTCTACTTTGGATAGTGCTTCTTGTAAGTTTTATTAGCCTACACATGGAGAGGCTATGAGTTTGTCAAGTGGGATTCTAATCCTTTTTTATGATACTTTGTTTGTGAACTTAATCCTTTGCAGCCTGGTTAGAATTTGATGATCATTTCCATGACAGCAGTTTATATTCTGTATGTCGATCAGCCCGGTGAAAGGGATATGAATTTATTTGCACTCATCTTAGCTGTATCTGCCCTATTAATTGTATTTATATGGCTTTATTTATAGATGTCTTGTTCATTAACAAATATGTGTATTTATGTCCATGTGTGTATGTATACTTTTGTTTACTTATATCTAGGTATATTGCTTAATATTCTCACGGCTAATTTTAATGTTAAATTTAAAAGTTCAGATGGATATTGTTTCAGGTTTTTCCTTTCTATGCCACTGGAGGAACGTGTTCGGAGATTGCTTTTGGAGGTTTGTTGCAAGTTCAGACAATAAATATGATATTACTGACTATCCATGAAGTTGATGCCAAATTGAACTATTGAATTAATTTATAGATTGATATTTTCGGGGATTTTTATTTATGATTGATACTCCTGTTTATTGCTTGTTTTTGTGTGTGTGTATTTCTAGAAAGCAAGTCATACATCAATATGTATATGACCTGTCTCTCAGCTTGTTTGTTGTTGAGCTTTCTGATCTTTTATCTAATTTTTGTTCTGTGTCCTTGTAATATTGTGGAAATCATGAATGTTGGACAAATAGTTGGAAGAATGTATTGTTTTGGACTAGGCAGTTGACAATAAACGTTGTAAAAGGGTTTGACGGTGTTTTCAGTATTTATTTTTAAGTCGTCTTTTCTGGAGGTCAAAGTAAAGTTTAGGGTTTACTATAATCAATCACTGAAAATTTGAAAAATTTTGTGGTTTTTTTGAGAGTGGTTTATACGTCCAACCTTGTCCCTTAAATGATTTTCTCCTTGCAGCTTTTCAAAATTAGTGTTCACATACTATTTACAGTTGCTGTTTACATTATTATCTGCTGCTTTATTCAGAGCAACTTTCAATGATTCTTCAAGTTTTGACAATCAATTACTTTTCTTTAAATCCCTAATTAAATCTCGAACTTTGAAATCCTTCCCACTTATCTATCCCCAAAACTAGTTTTTAAAATAGTTCGTGGTACATATATGTGTGGATTTAAATCAAGGGAGACAATTTTTTTTCTGCTCAAAATGCGATCCTATTCCCTCATCTGTTATAAATCATTCCCTTCTTTTGGAAGAATTTTTTATCTTTATTTTAAATTTTATATTTATTTTGTGGTGGGTTGCTGAATGTTGAAGGCCTAAGGGAATCTGTGTATTTTTCTCACGACTGGGATTAAATTATGCACTGCTCATAGTTCAATGTATATATCAATCTTCTTTTCATTTATTTTGGTCCTAAGTACAGATCACTCCTAAGTTGTCACATTAAGGCAAGTTTCACAGGACTTACAAGTGCCTTTACATCTTATAGGTGCTCAATTGTCCTTAGGGTTGTATAGTGTATGTATTATTGAAAATGCTTTAATAAACTCTTTTTTTTATTTTTATTTTTTTTGGTGAGTTTTGCAAATTGGTTGTCTTCTTTCTCAAGTCAGATCGCTCCTTTTTCTGTTGAAATATCTTTAGAGAAAGTACATTCTTTTAGGTATTCCTGTAACAGTTTGATTTTTTTTTTTTTTTTGGTCTCCCCTTTTTTGTAACTTGCACATTTTTCTTAATTTAATAGGGTCCACCAGTTAATCGGTTTAGTGCACTCCAGCATTTTGCTTCTGATGACTCTATTGAAGATCTTTTAGGAATCCTTCAGAAACACGCTCAATTAGTGCAAGGTCTCTGGGTTCCAAGAAGTTTATTGCTATTTGAAGACAAAGCTACGTGCTTAGCTAGAGATTTCGTTCTTCTTTTATTTAGCAAGAATTTGGCAGTCAAGTCTGAACAATTATTGGTTGAAGCAAAGCTTAAAGATCATATAAAACGGGTTCTGAATGTATTTGCTGTTGAGAGACCTTCCTTTAAAGATTGGAAGTTTAAAGAGCATAGGGATGCGTCATTTATAAAAGAACACCCAGATATTGTTAAGAAGCAAGAACAAGTTTGGGCAAATGTAGAGAAACAGATAAATGATGTTATAAATAGACCTAGAAAAGTTGGACCTAGTAAAGAGGTAGCTACACGAAAATCTGGCATGGCTGGTAAGCCTCTAAAAGTGATCAATTCTGATGAAGGTGCAAGTGCAGTGCTAAGTGGGAAGCCCATGTCTAATGAAAGTCGAGAAGCATTACCAAAGGCCTTGCAGAAAATTTTCCAGATGCACAAGGTTTGCAGGTATGGTGTTTTGAACTCTTTTTTGATGCAATTAGTATATTTTGCACAATTATGACACCATTTAAATTTAATTTCACCCATTTAAATGCATAAATATAATGACTTAAAAATTGTGTCAAAAATTATTTAAAAAAAAAAAAGAGGATATTAATCTGGTTAGATATTATTTTGCTGCAAGATGGTGTCATTTATTGGAAGTTTGGTCTTGAGATAAATAAAATATTATTTGCATGTTTTAGGGTTAAAAATAGTCGAAAATAATTTAGTTTTTGAACAACTTGCAATAAGCAGTTCTATAATATTTGTTGTTAATTAATTTACAAGAAGTTTACCCCTGCTAGTTTGGTGATGAGGTTTAGTTGCTTTGTGTCAAATTTTTAAAGTAGTGTCAAAGGTAGATACATATTTAAGTCTGGAGTCAAAAGAAACTAAAGTTTCTATAATATTTATTGTTAATCAATTTACAAGTAAGCAGATATCTTCATGTTTTGGTGGATTATCATTGAAGCATATCGGTCAGTAATTATTCCTTAAGTCAATTCATTGTAATTAACCATAATAACAGAAATAATACCTATCTGATATTCATATAAGAGTATAGTTGGTAAAGATTTTCTTTTTTTAATCCCAAGACAGACCTATGAGGTTATATTACCCTCTATGCAATCAAAGGTTTATTATGTACTGAAGTACTGTGTTTAACACAATCTGATGAATTTTTTATTTTTCACTTTACTGTTCAATATTAGAATAATGTGGCAATTTCTTGGCAGTAAGCAGTTCATTCGTGAACGTTTGCGGGAGTGGGCTGTTGCTCGATCTCATGTTCCCAAGCAAGCAGTTGATGCTAAAATGGCTATACTTGCAGCAGATGGTGTCGACACTGCAGATTTTGAGGAAGTCATAAGTCAAGTTGCGACCAACATTCACGGTTATTATGTTTCAAAATCATCCTCGGAGCACCCAGAATATGATCAATTGAGGTTTTACTTAGATTCCCTCTTAATTAAGAATTTTGATTGCCTAAAAACAAATGGATTCAATGCCCCATTATTGCCTTAGGATTGATGAAGCATCAATCAGCATGTATGTGCTTCGACGCTTAACCTATAGGAATGTGTTAATTTTTCATGCCTCTTTATATGCATGGCACACACGGGCATAGACATAATAGATTTAGTGATTGGAACACAAGTTCTCTAGCTTTGACATGTTGAGTCAAACCTTTAATTTTAAAGCTGGAGTACCTTGCATTTAGCGTTTCATTGTTACTCTCTTGTTAAGATAATTCTGTTGTACAATACAGGAAGGTTGTGATTAACCTGCTACTTGCTGGAGGACCTGATACGAAGCTTAAAAAGGCTGATGTTATTGAAGCTGCCAGGCTTACACTGAAGAGAGATAATATCACAGAAAATGAATATAAGAAGGTCAGTGACCATTTGTTTTTTAGTGCACCAATAGTCGAAGAAATTTGTTGTTTTGGAAATCATTGGATTGTTTCAATTTTATAGGAATAAGGTCAGGAATTGTAGTGAGACAACAGTAGCTAACATTCGGATTGTTTATTTTCTTATTTTCAAGTGAGAGGCCTTAACTGAAACTATGCTCTTGTGTAGGTCATGAGTGATATTTGTGAATCCAAAGGTGGCTCATGGGTCCTGAAAAAGCAGAAATGAGTTATTTAGTTCGGTTCCTTGTAGAAGAATGTAATACTAGCTTCAATAGGAGAAAACTTCCCAACAGATTTACATACAACCGACCGATCATATGAGATGCCATGTTAGCATGTGTAATATGCACTTGCCTAATGATTGGTTGGTTGTATATAAATCTTCTGTACAGAATACGGTCTAACTAAGATAATGCGTTGCCGCTTTTGAACATTCTTTGGCTGAACTCCAATATGATGGAGACACATTCCCTCTGCCAGAAGCCACTTGCTCATATATGAAGTACATTCTAAATGGTGCTCAGTGATTGTTGGTAATGACGAATAACTCATTATTTTTCTCAAATTATTATATTATTTTTTTAGTTTATGCATTTAAATAGCATGATTCAAGTCATACATTTGCTTCATAGTGAATTGTTCCATAGAGTAATGCAATTGCCTCAGTACATTCCTGAAGTTAGGGAACTAGAGTTGTCAAATTGGGCTATGCATTATGATGCAATTTTCGAAGCCGAACCTATTCTTGTTATTGCTTCATATATTGCAATATATTTTTGCAAAATGATTGCTGGTGCAGACAGTAATACGTGGTGAGAGATTGAGGAGAAAATGAAGTTATTTTTTGTTAATGTTTATCCTTGAGGTCCTTTTCTACTCTCATTTTCAGAAGGGGATTATTGTGTATTTGTTTGTTGATTGCTATTTCAGAGTCTATGAAACTAAAATAGAGATTAATTCTAGTTAGAAGAAAGGGGCCGGGAACGCTTCAATAAGGAAAACTTCCAATGATTAGGATTGACAAGATTCAGATAGGACATTAGTAATATATGCTGAGTTCTCGTTTCTTTTTCAATCATAATATATCTGGAATTATTCATTGTTGAAGTTATGAATGTCCACATTAGATGCAAAGGTTTTATTTTTAGATTCACAATCAACGGCAAAAATGAACAAATAGAATTATCATAAGCGATGTTTTTGCCTGTTTATTGTTAATAAAACGTTGTATCAAAAATATGCATCGTTGTGTTTGATGGCAGGATATGATGAATCAGATGGGAAAGGCAAGAGGAGCCAAGGTAGTATGTGTAGTTGCTGGCATATTCTCAATTTTGCAATGTGTTTGTGGTGGATGGTAAATACATTTTTCTTCTTAATCCTGATATTCAATTTTTGATATATATCTTTGTGGAAATATTTTCCATAGTTGTGTTGGATAGTAAATAGACTTTTATTCTTAATCAAGCATCCTAACAATTTTTTAAAATTATTAAATACCCCTACAATTTTTTATATCCCCTGAGATAATCATAGAGTATTTTGATAGTTTTCGATAATTGTTAGGATATTTATTACTTATTGATCTCATAAGATATTCGCCTGAAGTTCTTTCTTTTTTTTTTTTTTTTTTTTTTGGGTGAAATGAGTATGTGCCTCTTTTTTTACTCTTACAGTAACATAATTTTCAAATGGAATAGAATATTTGAAGCGTCAAATAAAATTTATCTTTTTTAAATAGAAAATTTATGAACTTAATAAATTGCACCATTTTCCCTTCAAGCCACATTTGCATGCATGTCTAGGCCTCTTTTTTAAATTTAAAAAAAATGCTATAACTAAATAATAAGAAAATGGCCTTTTCTGTTTTAGGAATAAAAGAAATGAAAAAAATAAAATAAAAGGAATCAAGTTTCAACAAATCAAATAGAAAACAAAAAATGCCAAGGAAATCAACGAAATATCACTGTTTTAAAAGTCGGACCGGACCGACCAGTTCACAACCAATCCAACCGGTTGGATTGTGAACTGGTCACGTGTTTGGTTCGAGTCAATATAAAAATTGGTATTGCATAATAACCCGTTTTAACCTGTCAATGAACCGCGTGAACAGTGTTAGACCGTCTGTCCGATCGGATCGCAAGAAAAACTGGCCCAACACTGAAAAGGGGAAAAAATCCCTAATTTCTCACTTTCTCCTATTGTGCAGTTTCTTCTTCCTCAGTTCCTCTACGTGCAAAATACTTTGAAAAAATTTGAATGAAATCGCGAAAATCTGAAATCCCACACAAATCAAAACTCAATATTGTTGAAATCACAACTATTATTTGTTGAAATTGCAACCATTCGTTGCTGAAATCAATCGCAACTCCAGTCTTTGAAATCGTGAGGACGCGTTCCTCCCTCGTTGGAAATCGATGACGCGTTCCTCCCTCGTTGGAAATCGATGACGCGTTTCTCCCTCACCGAAAATCGATGCATGAAGGTTGATAGGCATGCATGTCTTGACAATCCAATTTGATTCAAGGTGAGTTGCAAACAATAAATTTAGTGGACTCGAGAGGACTCGTATCAATACAGCATGCTTCGTGGTGTCGATTCCGATGGGCTCTTCGCCAGAATCAGCTAAAGTAGCATACGTGTCCTTTCGAGGTTCAATGGATGCTTCAAGCAGACCCTACGGAGCAATGGATTCTCCCAATTACAGAGGTGCAAAACCAATAGGATCCCCTAGTTTTTCACGGGAAAGACGCAGATAAAATTTAGTGTGTAAACTGTAAACCAATAATTTTTTTCAACATGATTTTCCCAATCCCGTCTGTATGTTGAAGTGTTGTATTTTAATTGTTCATACATTTTATTGAATGAAATCATTATTCTTTCTATTGTAAATCCCACCTTACAAGTATATTTGATTTTGGAATGTTGTCCTTGTCATATTTTGGTTATATTCTCTAACTTTGATTCAGAAATTTCATCATCAAATTATAATTTGATTACCTTTATGTTCAGATTCTTACTTATTATGTATTTTGTCATTTAATATGTAAATACAACATCATGTTTGGATTTAGACTTTGGATTGTTGTTAAATACTTAAATTATGTTGGGATTGTTGTTGAATTTGAACTTTGAATCATGTTGGACAGTAATGAAGTTGTTATTGTCTTATTAAAAAATAGAAATCTAAAAAAAAAAAAACAGGGTTTTTTTAAAATGTGCTGACGTTATCATGATGTGTGATGATATCACCGGTCCAATCGGTTGGACCGGTTGAACCGTGACCCAGGTAGCAGAGCGGGTTGTCCTCCGATCCGGCTTTTAAAACAATGCGAAATATGACAAAATAAACTCCAAAATTTCAACGACTACTATTTATAGCAAAATTTATGCAGACATCACCTTTTTCTGTTTTAGTTTTTGGATAGTTTTTCTCCACAATAAATTCAATCATATACATATATAAGTAAATCTTGATATAGGACATTTTGATGTTAATTTTGTTAAGATCATGTTTATATACCATTGGATTTATTTTTTGCAATTTAAATACAATGGAATAATTACCAATTATATATAAACATTGCAAAGTCACCACAAATGCCAAAATAATAATAATAATAATAATAAATAAATAAAGAAGTTTTAAAAGAAAATTAAAACTTATGTGAGTGGCATATATAAACAAAAACACAATGTTAATACCCAAAAGCTGATCCATCGTTGGCACTTGAAAATTTGATTTCAATTATTAACATTAATTAATAGTCCACAATCTATTACAATTCAACTGTGGCATAGTATAATTCTCTCCAACTCTACTCACAAGTAAATTGGATTGTTTTACATTTATAATTAGTGTCTCAAAAAATTAAATTTATGTAGCCTTACTCCAAATGAAAAAAATATATATAAAGAATTTTTTCTATATTATATGAAGAAAACCAAAATAATAAAAAATATAAATATAAAGAGAAGTGGTTTTTAGTCCTTATCTAATTGATTAATAGTCATCATTGCTAAATACATCTCTTCTATAATCTTTTCTTTAGATTCCATTCATTTTGTTGTATGATTACATTTTATTTTATTTTATTTTATTTTTTTTGTAATTTTGTTATTATTTTATCATCAAACAGACAAATATTTGAATTTAAAAAAAAAAATAAAGATTTCTATGATTATGAAAATTTAGGGTTAGGGTTTATATAAGATTGAATGTTAAACATACAATATATATATATATTAAATATATCTATATAATTATATATATTATATATATATATTATATATATATTATATATATATAATATGTCATCTTAAAGTAATTTTAATTAGCCTCAATCAAATTGATTAATAGCTCCCATTACTAAATACACATCTATTATGTTTATAAAATGTCTCTTTAAACCCCATTCAATACAAAAACAACCCTGCTTAATTAAGTTTTTGTTTGCACCTTTTCTCCCCAATTTCAACTTATTATGTATTTGTTTACATCACTTTCCCTCAATTTCAAACTTAATTAGGGTTTCCCCAATTTTTTAATTAGGTTTTAGATTTCAAATTTTAAACTTATTTTTTATCTTCATAATCAATTCATCGTGTTATGTGATTATTTTCTCCATAACGTTAGTAATATATTCATTAATCAAATAAATATTTGAAACAAAAAAATATATATGTTTCAATGATTTAGAAGATTTTAGTTAGGGTTTATGTTTGAGAATTAAAGTAAAATATAATACATAATAGATGTGTAGAAATTTTTATGCCATTTTTAACAACTTTTATTAAGGTTAAAAATGTCAAAACAAAAACAGTATATTTAAAAGTGGAGATGCTGATCAATTTGATGGGTTAAAATCACTTTCTTAATTAGATGGGCTAAAAAACTTCCAAAAAAACAAATAGCACTCGGCCAGTCCATCAAGACTTTAGGCTTTAAAGAAAAATAGATATAAAGAATCCTATTTAAGTAAACCCAGCCCATCAAGACTACGTTGCAAAATAAAAATATTTGTTGAGAGTGGGATTTGAACCGCCCTTTCGACCAGAACCTTAATCTGGCGCCTTAGACCAACTCGGCCATCTCAACTTTGTTGAATAATTGAAGTATAAAATTTAGCTTATAATTTATTTTGAAATAAATGACCATTTCGTAAAAATCGTGTGGCCATTTATGTTTCATTATCTCTCAAGGGGTTGAATGATATAATAACCCTTTCACATTAAGATATGAATCTTTACCTTATTTAAGGGTAGGTTATTTTATGAATTTTATGTTTATGTTTTTTGTATTTTCAGAATATTGAAAAGTTTGGAAAACATAAAAAATAACCACATTGATATGTTTTTTAAAAATAGATTTCCAAAACGCAAAAAATGGAACTTGTTCACATGTTTGTCTAAAACACCAAAAAAAAAAAAAAAAAAAGAAATTTATCACCTCCACACCCGATAAAACTCCAAATTACCACTTGTTTTATTTGTCTCGAATAGTTTATCTTAAATATGTTAATTGTTGGTTCCCATTTACAATTTTTTTAATTAGAAATCTTAATTTAAAATAAAAGTTTTTGTTTTATGAGAGAAAAAATAAAGTATGGAAAGAGAAGAAGAAGTTGGAGTTTTAAAACTATATTAACTAATTTTCGACCATTGGTTGAATTTTCAGGAATTGCAATTATCTTTTCATCAAAATATATGAAGAGAGAAAGAACATCAAATTTGGGTCTTTTCAACTATTT